ATTACCCCCTCCTTCCCACTCTCCTACCCCACCTTCCCACTATGCCTCCTTCCCTCCCGTGATGTTTAGTTTGGCATTGATAGGTGATTCAGACATAATTATAACTACAGGCAGACAGAAAGACAAGGATTAAAGACAGACAAACAGACAATCTTAATTACGGAAAGACACACAGCCACATAATTACAGAGACAAACAGTTATAATTACTCTTAAACATGATTATTAATAGAGCAACAGTGATTACTCTCTCTCTCTCTCTCTCTCTCTCTCTCTCTCTCTCACGACTGCTAAGAGAAGAAAAACACCAATATGATAATGATGTGAAGACTGAGGAGGAGGAGGAGCCTAAGGACACACACACACACACACACACACACACACACACACACACACACACACACACACAGAGCCGCCCCGACTCCCGTAAGATTTATGTAGGGCAGACCGCCGAGTTTTCTTGTATAGCTATATAAATGGAAATAAGGGAGGGCAAGGGTGATGAAACCTGCCTCCAGTATAACTAGCAGGTGTTGGATTAACTCTCCCTCTCTCCTTCTCCCTCTCTCCCTCCCTCCCTCCTTTCATTTCTCTCTCTCCTGTCTCGGAGTGAAGTGGCGGGAGGGTGGTGAGGGGTGGGAGAGGAGCGACACAAGAGGGGTAGGAGAGGATCATAGGGGATGGGGGAGAGGCGTGAAGGATGCGAGAGAGGCATAGGAGACGGCGTGAGGAGCAAGGGAGAGGGGTGTAAGGAGCAAGGGAGAGGTGTGAGGGGCGTGAGAAAGTCAAAAGAGATGGAGGGGCAGGAGAGGAGATGGGTCATACACACACAAACTCACACTAGCTGCCACACTCTCTCGGCACTCTACCATGATGGAGTAAATTTCTCAAACTTTCTTATCGACAATGAATACTTTTTTTTTTCGCTTTCGTTATCATGGAGTTAAGAGTGTAATGCTTTCTAATCGATGTGCAATAATAAAATATGGTTTTCCTTTCAATGCGTCACCATGGATGAGTGTGTTATGTTAGGGACCAGCGGTTCTTTTGATGGTCTTGAAGATGAGAGTTGTAAATAAAGTTTGTTAATCATTGCAAGGTCTTAGGTAATTTGTTGTTGCAAGTTCCAAATTAAGAGAGATGGTTAATTATTGCAAGTTCCAAGAGAGGTAATTAATTCTTGCAAGCTCCAGTAATTAATTGAATCAAGTTCTAAGTTATGAGAGGTAGTTAAGTATTGCAATTTCCACGACAGGTAGTTAATAATTGCAAATTTCAATTTAGCAGACTTACCGTGGCACACAGACCATTCTAACTACAACTAATATTTCTCGGCACGACACCCCCCCCACCCCCTCCACCGGATATCATTATTATATTTTACCTGTAAATTATTAGGGCTAAGGCTTACCTGTCTGATATAGTGACTCTTGTATTACGGGCTTAGAGGGAGGTAACTCAGGTGTGTACGTGCGTGCGTGCGTGTGTGTGTGTGTGTGTGTGTGTACCTCCACCATCCATCCAGCTTAACGGTACTACCCTCTCTAATGTTACCCACTTTCGGTATCTCGGCTCCCACCTGTCCACCACCGCGGATATCGATGATGAGATTCAACATCGGATCAGATGTACATCTCAAGCCTTTATCAGGCTCCGAAAACTTGTCCTCAGCTGTAGGGAGCTGAAATTATCGACAAAACTGCTATATGGCAGTGAGACATGGGTCACATACTGTACAGGAGGCACCTCAAGGCACTTGAAAACTTTCACCAATGTAGTCTACGTTCCATCCTCCGAGTTTGCTGGGAAGACAAGAGTACAATTGCCAGTATTCTTGCTGACACCAACTGTAGGAGCATCGAGGCTACCATTATCCATAAACAACTACGCTGGACTGGCCATGCTACCCGCATGGACGACAGTAGACTGCCAAAACAGTTACTTTACAGTCACCAAACGAATAGTAAACGTAACGCCGGCGGGCAATTGAAAAGGTATAAGGATAGTCTTAAGACAAACCTGAATAAGTGCCAAGTCGACCCCCTCACCTGGGAGACGATTACTCCACATCGTAACGCTTGGAGGAGCACCACACGAGGTGTCAATACTCTCGAGTTAGCCCGACTGCAAACCGAGGCAGACAAGCGCCAACGCAGGAAAGGCGGGGTGAAGCGAGGCGGGGTGGGGGCGCTAATCCTCAGGTGATCCTCAGTCACGTACGTCACAAACCACCGCCAGCCAACGCACCACTCAAGAGACTCTGGTGTGCGCGCAAACAAATCACTCAGGTATCCACTTAGACGGTAAACAACGTAATACTGTTTGCCTCACACTTTACGTCCGGCGACTCTGTAAATCTCCAAAATACATCACCGTACACACTATATACATCACCATACACACTATATACACCACCATACACACTATATACATCACCATACACACTATATACATCACCATACACACTATATACATCACCATACACACTATATACACCACCATACACACTATATACACCACCATACACACTATATACATCACCATACACACTATATACACCACCATACACACTATATACATCACCATACACACTATATACATCACTATACACACTATATACACCACCATACACACTATATACATCACCATACACACTATATACACCACCATACACACCATATACATCACCATACACACTATATACACCACCATACACACTATATACATCACCATACACACTATATACATCACCATACACACTATATACATCACCATACACACTATATACATCACCATACACACTATATACATCACCATACACACTATATACATCACCATACACATACAATACCATACAAACAATATACACACACACACACACACACACACACACACACACACACGGAGTACACAACTGCATCCTCTCTAATCAGCTGTCAGCCTCCTCAGTTATTAATTAGTAGAGTCAACCAACTGTCTGCACCAAGGACTCCCGATTAAACTTAATAGCTTGAGCCCTCGACCAATATGCCAGGCTTATGTACTAAATACTGTCACACTACCCTGAGTTAATTACATCAAGTGATATTAGGTGTGTTTGGTCTGTGCTGAGAGTAGAGTAGAGTAAGGTAGAGAAGAGTAGAGTAGGGTAGGGTAGGGGAGAGTAGAGTAGAGTAAGGTAGAGGGTAGGGGTAGGGGTAGGGGAGAGAGGGGGAGAAGGTAGAGGGTAGGGGTAGGGTAGGGGAGAGAGTAGGGGGAGGAGAGAGTAGGGGTAGGGTAGGGTAGGGGAGAGTAGGGGGAGAGGAGTAGGGTAGGGTAGGGGAGAGTAGAGTAGTAGAGGGTAGTAGAGAGGGTAGAGGGAGTAGGAGTAAGGAAGAGTAGAGTAGTAGGGTAGAGTAGGGGTAGGGAGAGTAGGAAGGTAGAGTAGAGGGTAGGTGGGGTAGAGTAGGAGAGTAAGAGAGTAAAGTAGGGTAGAGTAGGGTAGAGGGTAGAGTAGGGTAGAGGTAGGGTAGAGTAGTAGAAGGTAGAGTAGAGTAAAATAGAGTAGAGGAGAGAAAGAGTGTGTTTAAGTTTACGTATAAGCCTGTGTGTGTACCTGCTGAGGGCGTGTACCGGCTTGAGGGCGGTGTACCGACTTGAGGGCGTGTACCGGCTGAGGGCGTGTACCGACTTGAGGGCGTGTACCGACTTGAGGCGTGTATGGTACCAACTTGAAGGCGTATACATGTAGTACCTACTTGACGGCGTGTACCTACCTGCGGCGTGTACACCTGACAATGTGTACCTACCTGAGGGCGGTGTACACACCTGACAATGTGTATCTACCTGAGGGCATTTACCTGCCTAAGAACCTCCAAGGGGATGAAACATTTAAATTTCCTACGTATATTTCGACTGTATTTTTGAGTCATTTCATCTCCTTATATTTTTACAGTACGAGCGCACACGCACACACACGCACACGCACACGCACACGCACACACACAGGTAAGGCCACCCCTCAGGCAGGTAACCTTCATGAGTTACTGTTGAGCTGAGAGACAAAAATGGACTATTGGAGTGTGTGCTCGAGAGAGAGAGAGAGAGAGAGAGAGAGAAAAAAAAAAAAAAAAGAGAGAGAGAGAGAGAGAGAGAGAGAGAGAGAGGCCATCCACAACACTGACAAGAGGTAGTGGCACCAAAAAAGGGATGCTGGTGGGTGATAAGGGTGGCAGGGCGGTGGTGGATGGAGACCGCCCAGTAGGAGCCATTAGCTATAATGGAGGATCACACAACAGAGCACAGAGCCGCCCTCACTAGTGCCACCCCTCATCCCTCCACGTGCCGCCCATCCTTCCAGTGCCTTCCTTCGCTCATCAGTGCCGCACCACCCTACCAGTGCCCCCTCCCTCACTAATGCCGCCCATCCTTCCAGTGCCACCCACCCTTCCACTGCCGCTCTCCTCACCAGTGCCACCCCCTCGCCGCCTCCCTCACCAGTGCCACCCTCCCACGCCTCCCTCACCAGTGCCACCCACCCTTCCAGTGCCGCTCTCCTCACCTCAGTGCCACCCACCTTCCAGTGCCGCTCTCCCTCACCAGTGCCACCCACCCTTCCAGTGCCGCCCCCAACAGTAATCTGATTATTAAAGACAGGCATTATGCTACCAGGGGTGGGAGAGGGAGGAGGAGGAGGAGGGAGATTGAAGGGGAGAATATGGAAGAGGAGGAGGAAGAATGATAATATGCCCAGTTGAATCGTAATTACTAATGATGGGATAGTAATGATGGGATAGGTGTGAAGGTAAGAGAATGGGAAGATACAGAGCCAATAAGAAGACCTGAAATGGGATGGAATGGGATGGATGGGATGAAGGAACAGTAGGTGAGGTTGAGAATAGAGACGGGATAAGATAATGGTGGATAAAGTGGCTGGAAATAAAAGAAGGGATAGATAATGGGAAGAATGGAAGGGTAAAGAAGGAACAAAGTTTAAAATTGGGTCAGTCATATTCAGACATAATGGAGGCGGGTCAAGGTTCGCAGACCGACCGACCGACCGACACACACGCACAGAACTTGGTGCCACAGCGGCTAGGCCAAACACCCCAGCTGTTTACAATAAGGACATGGAGAACACTAGAATGTGGGGTCAAGAATTAAAACAGGATAGAGGCTAGACTGTCACTAAGGGATAGGATAAGAGGATAGAAGCTAGACTGCCACTACAGGATAGGATGACAGGATAGAAGTTAGACTGTCATTACAGAATAGGATAACAGGATAGAGGCTAGACTGTTACCACGGGAAAACAGGATAGAGGCTAGACTTCCACAACAGGATAGGATAACACTGCAGCATAAGAATAACTCCGGATTGTATAATGATGAGCCCAAGATATTGTTGGAACTCTGGATCGGAGCCAAATATGTTATATAGAACGAGATAGACTTGTAACACACACACACACACACACACACACACACACACACACACACACACACACACACACACACACACACACACACACACACACACACACACACACACACACACACACACACACACACACACACACACACACACACACACACAACAAACACACACACACACACACAAACACAACACACACACACACACACACACGTTATTAAATTCCTCACCTTCCCCACCATTACACCCAACAGGACGTAAGATGCCCATACCATTCCTGTTATTCTCATAGTACACGTCCCACAAGACGGACAGACAACAAACGCTGCATAACGTAACATCAAGCCACGGGGAAAAACAGGCAACGCAACATCAGGCCAAGGAAAACAGGCAACGCAACATCAAGCCACGGGGAAAAACAGGCAACGCAACATCAGGCCACGGGGAAAAACAGGCAACGCAACATCAGGCCACGGGAAAAACAGGCAACGCAACATCAGGCCACGGGGAAAATCAGGCAACGCAACATCAGGCCACGGGGAAAATCAGGCAACTCAACATCAGGCCGCGGAAAAATCAGGCAACGCAACATCAGGCCACAAAAAATCAGACAACGCAACATCAGGCCACGGGGAAAAACAGGCAACGCAACATCAGGCCACGGGGAAAACAGACAACGCAACATCAGGCCACGGGGAAAAACAGACAACGCAACATCAGGCCACGGGAAAAACAGACAACGCAACATCAGGCCACGGGGAAAACAGGCAACGCAACATCAGGCCACGGAAAACAGGCAACGCAACATCAAGCCACGGGAAAAAACAGGCAACGCAACATCAGGCCACGGGAAAAGAGCAACGCAACATCAGGCCACGGGGAAAAACAGGCAACGCAACATCAGGTCACGGGGAAAAACAGGCAACGCAACATCAGGCCACGGGGGAAAACAGGCAACGCAACATCAGGCCACGGGGGAAAAACAGGCAACGCAACATCAGGCCACGGGGAAAAACAGGCAACGCAACATCAGGCCACGGGGAAAAAACAGGCAACGCAACATCAGGCCACGGGAAAACAGGCAACGCAACATCAGCCACGGGAAAATCAGGCAACGCAACATCAGGCCACGGGGAAAACAGGCAACGCAACAAAGCCACGGGAAATCAGGCAACGCAACATCAGGCCACGGGGAAAAACAGGACAACGCAACATCAGGCCACGGGAAAATCAGGCAACTCAACATCAGGCCACAGGGAAAAACAGGCAACGCAACATCAGGCCACGGGGAAAACAGACAACGCAACATCAGGCCACGGGGAAAAAACAGGCAACGCAACATCAGGCCACGGGAAAACAGACAAACAACATCAGGCCACGGGGAAAAACAGACAACGCAACATCAGGCCACGGGAAAAACAGGCAATTTGGGCTAGATATGGTCCAGTCAATCTGTTGTAAGAGTCGCCCACCCCATTGTTTGAAGGCACAGAGTAAAAAAAAAAAAAAAGTGGGATTTTCAAGGAGGGTCCTAAGGTTGTATGGAGGCAAAGGAAGATGGGATTCATTCACCCTAATGCCCACTGTCTACAAGGGTTAGGTTAGGTTGAATGTTCATAGTGAATGTTGAAACTACGGATTAATTGTAAGGTTGAATAGGTCCAACTACGGCCCCTATTGTGAGGTTGAATAGTTCCAACTACGGCCCCATTGTGAGGTTGAATAGTTCCAACTACGGCCCCTATTGTGAGGTTGAATAGTTCCAACTACGGCCCGTATTGTGAGTTGAATAGTTCCAACTACGGCCCCTATTGTGAGGTTGAATAGGTCCAACTACGGCCCCTATTGTGAGGTTGAATAGGTCCAACTACGGCCCCTGAGGAGGTTGAATAGTTCCAACTACGGCCCCTATTGTGAGGTTGAATAGGTCCAACTACGGCCCCTATTGTGAGGTTGAATAGTTCCAACTACGGCCCCTATTGTGAGGTTGATATGTCCAACTACGGCCCTGTTGTGAGGAGATCCAGGAAACACAAGACATTACGGTCACCCTCAAAAAGAATTCCGACTATCCTGATGACGCCGCTAGAAGTTCCCCGTAGTCTCCAAACATCTACTTAGATTTCGACAACAGACTGGACCCCATATGATGATCTTTAGCTGGATTCCATGAACTAGTTTGTGGAATGATAACGAAGATATTACGAGCCCTCCTCGTGTTGTATGTCTGGTGGAGATCCTCACCTTCCATGACTCTGACGACCCGACATGCTTTTTCATCCAGACCTCAGCTGCTGGCGGAGTGATGATCGTCCGTGGCCCTGGGAGCACCACTACCACACCGGGTGATCAGGACTGACGGCGACGCAACAGAAGAAGACCAGGTGAATAAAAAAGACGATCAGTGAAAGAGTTGGGCAAAGGTTAGTATAAGAATGAGAGGAGGAAAGAGTGGAAGAAAGGGAAAGGAAAGGGAGAGGAAGAAAAAGAGGAAGAGAAAATTGGAAGGAAAGGGCGAGGAAGGAAAGGGTGAGGAGAGGGAAAAGAGGGAGGGGAAAGGGGAAGAAACAGGAAGATGAAAGGGAGAGTAGACAAAGAGAATGAAAAAAAGAGGAAAAGGAAAGGAGAGGAAAAGCAAAGAGTACCAAGAGAAAAGACGAATAGTGAAAGAGAAGGTAAAATGGCATAAGAATGAAGTGGAGGTACAAAGGAAGGGGGGAAACAGCTGAAGTGGGAAAGGGAGTGAGAGGAAGACTGGAAATCACGTACGGGAGAGAGAGAAAAAATGGTAAGAGAGGAAAGTGTGAAAGAACATGGGGGGAGAGGAGTGGAGAGGGAAGGAGAGGGAGAGGGAAGGGGAGGGAGGGAGAGGGGAAGGGGGAGGGAGGAAGGGGGAAGGAAAAGTGGAGGGAGAGGGAGGAAGGGAGGGGAGGGGGAAGGAGGAGGGCAGGGGAACACACGACACATTTACTAGAAAGAAAGACTGGAAATCACGTAGAGGAGAGAGGAGGGAAGGGAGGGGGGGTTGGGAGGGGGGGCGGGGAGGAGGGGGCAGGGGGAGGGGGGGGGGGGGGCAGGGGAGGAGGGGGGCAGGGATTTTGGGGATTGGGAGGGAGGAATACAGCACATTTACTACAGCTCTGAGGAATGCAATCACGAGAACAACCCGGGAAGTTTGAGCCTGACGAAAACCATCAAGATGATGTTTAGTTCCGCCCTGCCTATCCTGCCCTATTTCCTGCCTATCCTGCCCTATTTCCTGCCTACCCTGCCCTATTTTCTGCCTACATGCTTATCCTGTCATATATCCTGCCTGCCTGCCTATCCTGCCATATTTCCTGCCTGCCTATCCTGTCATAATTCCTGCCTGCCTATCCTGCCCTATTTCCTCCCTGCCATATTTCCTGCCTGCCTGCCTATCCTGCCATATTTCCTGGCTTCCTATCCTGCCCTATTTCCTCCCTGCCTATTTCCCGCCTGCCTATCCTGACATATTTCCTGCCTACCTATCCTGCCCTATTTCCTCTCTGCCTACCCTGCCTTACTTCCTACTTGCCGGCCTATCCTGCCTTACACCCTGCTGCAGCCATCAGTATCCGGGGTACATATCCAACATCAAACCATATATTACAATCCTCGCTGCCAGTGTTCGGGGTTCGTATCCAACATGGGTCACACCACGACACAAAGAAGACCAACAACCTCCACCCGTCGACTCCCTAAAGAGAAAATATTAATACCTGCAAGAAGTGATTTATTCCTCTGTTTTGTGTGAGTCTCTCGGCCAGAACCAGTCAAGGGCCATTAAGTCTTCGCCACATTAGTCGAGCCTCCTTAAGAAAAACACTTCCCTCCCCCTCCCTAATAAAAGAAGGGAAAATGGAGAAAAAATTTATGGATGTTAAAAATTGAGCAAAAAGGAAGTTATGGTATATTTATGTTACTTAATATCACTAATAATAATGATACTTTTACCTTTGCTACTACTATTACTACTACTACTACTACTACTACTACTACTACTACTAAAAATAATAATAATAATAATAATAATAATAATAATAATAATAATAATAATAATAAAACTAATAATAATAATAATAATACGGTAATAATGTTAATAACAATAAAAAAATAATATGAACATCCCATGAGAACAAAAATAACAGTAAGAAGTTCGTTAAACGTGAAAACGATCTCCTTAAACACAAGAACGAACTCCTTAAACGTAATAAAGGCTTCGTTAAACGTAATATAAGATTCGTTAAACGTAAAAATAACTTATATTTAAAACCGAACTCGTTATACAGTACGTAAAATCGAGTTCGTTACAAGTGACAGGTAGTGGTACTTCTGTCCAATCTAGACACACACCCCAAAAATCGACGGACAAGTGGTATACAATGTTAAGTGACAGAATACCTAAGAGTGACAACTACTGTACGTGGACGGGAAGATTTTCTGACACACTGAGGCACTTGCTTACCCGTCCACAAACTTACCCAGGCAGAGGAGTTGGTGTGAGGTAGGTGGGTGGTTGAGTGGGTGTGAAGTGGGTGGATGAAGCGGGTGTGAAGTAAGTGGGTAGTTGAGTGGGTAGGTAAGTGGGTAGGTGGGTGGATGGTAAGTATGGGTTAAGTTTTTGTTGGATTATATTTAAGTTGGTTTGGTTAGGTTAGATTAGGCGAGTCAGGATAGGTGGGTTAGATGAAGTTGGCCAGCTTGTGTAACGATGTTCTTACCTCCAATCAACACACACACCCCGGGTCTCTCTAGTGCGAGTTGCTTACCTCATTTACTTCCTCCCCACCCCCATCTTCCTTACCCCCACCTCCCCTTACCCCCACCTCCCCTTACCCCCACCTCCCCTTACCCCCACCCACATCCCCACCCCCCCACCCCCACCTCCTTACCCCACCTCCACCTCCTTACCCCCACCTCCCTTACCCCACCTCCCTTACCCCCACCCCACCTCCTTACCCCACCCCCACCTCCTTACCCCCTCCACCTCCCTTACCCCACCTCCTTACCCCCCACCCACCTCCCTTACCCCCACCTCCCTTACCCCCACCTCCCTCCTTACCCCCACCTCCCTTACCCCCCACCCCTCCTTACCCCCCACCTCCCTTACCCCCCACCTCCTTACCCCCCACCTCCCTCCCTTACCCCCACCTCCCTTACCCCCCCTCCCTTTCCCCCCCCCCCTCCCCTTACCTCATCTCCCTCCCACCCCCACACCTCCCCTTACCCCACCCCCACCTCCCTTACCCCCACCTCCTTACCCCCCACCTCCACCTCCTGCCCCCCCCACCTCCTTACCCCACCCCCCACCTCCATACCCCACCCCACATCCCTTACCCCACCCCCACACTCCCTTACCCCCCCACCTCCCTCCCTTACCCCCCCACCTCCCTTACCCCCTATCCCCTTACCCCCCTCCCCTTACCCCCACCCCCACCTCCCTTACCCCCACCCCCCACCTCCCTTACCCCCCCCACCTCCCTCCCTTACCCCCCCACCTCCCTTACCCCCCCCCCACCTCCCTTACCCCCCTCCCCTTACCCCCCCTCCACCTCCCTTACCCCTCTCTTACCCCCACCCCCCTCCCTTACCCCCCACTCCTTACCCCCACCTCCCTTACCTCCACCTCCCCTTTCCCAAAAACTTATCCCCCTCAATTTCCTTCAATCTACAGTTATTTACAATTTACAATATATTTCCCCATTGAAAATAATTTACAAGACTTTTTATTACCTTAAAAAATATTTGGAGTGAAAAAGTTTAAAGTAATTTGCATATCAGGAAAGTTTTGAACAAAATGTGTAAATCATAAGGAGAGAGAGAGAGAGAGAGAGAGAGAGAGAGAGAGAGACCTACGCCACACCGTACTATATAGACCTTAGTTAAATATCACATGAAATCACTACAATCAACCACGTCAACCAAAGTAAACAACCACATCTCACGGCAAACAATCAACCACATCTCACGGTAAACAATCAACCACATCTCACGGTAAACAATCAACCACATCTCTCACGGTAAACAATCAACCACATCTCTCACGGTAAACAATCAACCACATCTCTCACGGCAAACAATCAACCACATCTCTCACGGTAAACAATCAACCACATCTCTCGATAAACAATCAACCACATCTCTCACGGTAAACAATCGACACATCTCTCACGATGAAGCAATCAACCACATCTCACGAGCAATCAGCCATCTCTGGTAAGCAATCAACCCTCTCACGGTAAGTAATCAACCCACATCTCTCTGATAGCAATCAGCCATCTCTCGATAAACAATCATACATCTCTCACGGTAAACAATCAACCACATCTCTCACGGCAAACAATCAACCACATCTCTCACGGTAAACAATCAACCACATCTCTCGATAAACAATCAACCACATCTCTCACGGTAAACAATCAACCACATCTCTCACGGTAAACAATCAACCACATCTCTCGATAAACAATCAACCACATCTCTCACGGTAAACAATCAACCACATCTCTCACGGTAAACAATCAACCACATCTCTCACGGTAAACAATCAACCACATCTCTCACGGTAAACAATCAACCACAGTAAATCAGCAGGTGTTAATTAACCAGACAACCTTAAAAGTATCTTCCTTCATAAACACAATTAAAATAACTAATTAACCTGCACACGGACTCACTAATTAAAGGTATCACACCTGAGAAGAAATACGACTGTCTTGGTGTTGTTTTTCAAATTAATTAAAAAAAATCATGTTTTTTCTTGCGAAGTGATTCATGCCACCCACGTCCACCAGCTAAGTGATTCATGCCACCCACGTCAACCAACTAAGTGATTCATGCCACCCACGTCCACCAGCTAAGTGATTCATGCCGCCCACGTCCCCCAGCTAAAATCAGTTAGTACGCCAATCAGCCCAACTAAAGTGATTCATGCCACCCATACAGCTCAGTGATTCATGCCACCCACGTCCACCAGCTCAGTGATTCATGCCGCCCGCGTCAACCAACTAAGTAATTCATACCGCCCGTCCCCCAGCTAAGTGTTTCATACCACCCACGTCCACCAGCTAAGTGATTCATACCGCGTCGCCAGCTAAGTGATTCATACCCGTCCACCGGCTAAGTAGTTCATACGCCCGTCCCCCAGCCCTAAGTGATTCATGCCGCCCACGTCCCCCAGCTAAGTGATTCATGCCACTCACGTCACAGCTAAGTGATTCATGCCGCCCACGTCACCCAGCTAAGTGATTCATGCCGCCCACGTCCCCCCAACCAGTGATTCGGTACCACCCGTCACCAGCTAAGTGATTCATGCCACCCACGTCACAGCCAGCTAAGTGATTCATGCCACCACGTCACAGCTAAATTGATTCATGCCGCCCACGTCCCCCAACTAAGTGATTCATGCCGCCCGTCTCCCAGCTAAGTGATTCATGCACCCCACGTCCACCAGCAGTGATTCATGCCACCCCACGTCACAGCTAAGTGATTCTTGCCCGTCTCCCAGCTAAGTGATTCATGCCGCCCACGTCCACCAGCTAAGTGATTCATGCCACCCACGTCACAGCTAAGTGATTCATGCCGCCCACGTCACCCAGCTACGCGATTCATGCCGCCCACGTCCACCAGCTAAGTGATTCATGCCACCCACGTCCCCCAGCTAAGTAACTCATCCCACCCACATCTCGGCTAAGTGACTCGTCTCAGCTAAGTGGCTCGTCTCAGCGAAGTGGATCATCAGGGGGGAGGTGGGTGTATATCCATTATACCACCCGCTTAGCTGTACTTTATGATAATGAAAAAACTATAAAAAAAAATGTTCCCACCCAGATTAGCTTTCAAGATTTCTTAGCTTTGGAATGGGTTAGTTTTTAGCTTTTGGATAACTGGATCTCGGGGTCAGCTAAATGGATTTTTTTTTTATGTTTAAGCTTTGTATATGTTAGTTGTATATTTATTTTAGCCGTTTCCCGTTTATTATTGTCACGTGAATATTATGTTTTGTCAATTGTTTTTATTATTCCACTCTCAACACACCTCAACAACACTCCCTCTCAACACACCCTCAACACACCCTCTCAACAACACTCCCTCTCAACACACCCTCTCAACAACACTCCCTCTCAACAACACTCCCTCTCAACACACCCTCTCAACACACCCTCTCAACAACACTCCCTCTCAACACTCCCTCTCAACCGAACTATATTATCATCATATACCAAGCCATACTTTACCTCGTCACCCGTGAAGAATTTGGCGAGAGTTATGTCGCTAAAAAAAATTATTATTACTTATGTTTAATTTTATGGCTGTATTTAGTTACACATTTCGTAAACTACTACTTAAGTTGATGACTAACATACTACACGCCATGATTTAACAACGTCATCTACACTTTTGAGATAGTCGTCGCGAAATATTAATCTAAATATCGGGGTCCATTTTTTGTTTCCGTTTTAGCTCGCGTTGCCAAGTGACGCTAACAAGTCGTTCGGTAAGTAACTTTACAATATTATTTTGATTTTACGACAAATGTGACTTTTAAGATTATGTGAATTCTCAGAGATTTTAAATTATTAATAAGAAATAATATGGGGAGTGTACATGGAGGAGTTTAATGAGTAGTAAACACTAACCTCTACTATGTCTGATAAACAGTCCACGTGACGGACTCCTCGTTTTCTATGCAGTCAAAAGTTCGTAGTCAATTTTTCAGCTGAACTCTCCTTCATAAACGTCATTTCTCTCGTTCACTTGTCATTTTCACACATATTATATTCGTTTTTAGTAATTATGTTCAAGTATGATCATTGCTGAAAACGTCATTTAGATAAAAACTTAAAGAAATGCACAAATAAACACAGACTCCACCGTCCAGCAGTTGAACGTATACTGAGCGCATGAGCCGCGTAGTGCGTGTTGGTCAAGCTCCTTTCCAGTGGTGCCAAATCTAATTTTTAAAGTCGCTAATCTACCAAGAAAATCTGTTAATATATCGCTAATATAAATGTTACAAAGAACTGCAATTAACTACACTCTAAATTGCATATTTATACACAGAATCAATAAGGTACAGTTAGTGTAAGCAAAAATTATAATAACTAAATAAAATAAAACTAATTCTTGGAATTCTGCCACTTCCTTACTGCTGATTGGTCAACACTACTACAACTTGTCTCAACTCTGCCGTCACTTGTCTCAACTCCCTCCATCCTCTCCATCATACAGTACAGGTATATTCAATTTCTGAATGTGGCCCTGGATGTCAGAGCACTCCTAAGTACCACACGCCCATGAGTGCCACAGTGCTCCTGAGTGCCACAGCGCCCCTGAGTGTCACAGCGCCCCTGAGTGCCACAGCTCCCCTGAGTGTCACGGTGCCTATGAGTGCCACAGCGCCCCTGAGTGTCACAGCGCCCCTGAGTGCCACAACGCCCCTGAGCGCCACAGCTCCCCTGAGTGTCACAGCGCCTATGAGTGCCACAGCGCCCCTGAGTGCCACAGTGCCCCTGAGTGTCACAGCTCCCCTGAGTGCCACAGTGCCCCTAAGTGTCACAGCGCCCCTGAGTGTCACAGGGCCCCGAGTGCCACATTACTTCTGAGTGCTTTCCCCTGGGTGCCTTCTGGGCATAACAGGTGGTGCGCCACACAACCATCTGTCACTGCCTCAGGCCAGGACCCACGGTAATCAGCTGCCAACCTCACCTGTCCTAGGTGTGGGAGGGAGGAGGGAGGGGTGAAGAGGGGGGAGGGGGGAAAGAGTGGGGGGAGGGTGAAGAGTGGGGAGGGGTGAGAAGAGTGGGGGAGGGTGAAGAGTGGGGGGAGGTGAAGGGAGGGGTGAAGAGAGAAAGTTAAAAGAAAAAGGAGGAGCAGGAATTGAACAGGGGGAGAGAGGAATGTCAAGGGAGAAAGAGGATGGGAAAGGAAATGTTAAGAAGGGAAAGAACGAGAGAGAGAGACCCCATTATCCCCTTCCCACCTATTTTCTCCTCCCCATCTTCGCTCACCCTTCACCTCCACCCCATTCTTCCCCACCCACCACCTCCTTCCCATTATCCCCCCACCCACCACCTCCTCCCCATTCTCCCCCACCCCATTCTTTCCCACCACCACCTCCTTCCCATTATCCCCCACCACCACCTTCCACCCCATTCTTCCCCACCCACCACCTCCTCCACCCAGCCCCCCCTCCCCCTCCCTGCACCGGATATGGTCTATTTCCTTGTCAGTACTCTAACGAACTGAATCATGGCTCGGGTTAATGGCCAGGTGATGATGGTGGAGAGGTAGGAGGTAGAGGGAGGGGGTAGAGGGACAGGAAAACGGGAAGGGGGGAGCTGGGAAGAGGGAGGGAGAATGGGAAGGATAGGAAGAAGAATACAATCTTTGAATACATTATATACCGATTAATTTTACATATAAAACCCAAATGTATTAAGACGATTCAAATGACCACTACACGATATGGGGTGGTGACCTTCAAGGCTGACCTCTAACCTTGACCTCTGACCTTGATCTTGACCTAGCAGTATACTCTTAAAAAATTGACAAAAGAGAAAAAAAAAAGAGACACAGACAAAGGTGAGAGAGACATAAAAGTAAGACATTAAACAAAAACACAAAAGTCAGACAAAATTGAGACATACAAGAGAGACATAAACACAAAAGTAAGAAATTAAACTATGACACAAAAGACAGAAAATACGAAGAGACAAAAATGAGACATAAAGACAAAAGTGAGACATAAAAGCGGGACACAAAAGGCTGAGACAAAAGGAAGGGGGACTTGAGGGGAAACGGGTAAAATTCAACTCCTTAGAGGGGAAACTTTTGAATTATCAGGTCACAGATTGGCGTGTCCTGGTGGAATACTGATCTCCTCACCTCTCATCCCTCTCCTAATCACTCCCCTCACCTCTCATCCCTCTCCAAACTCCTAACTATCCTCCTCCTCCAAAAAAACCCTACCCTCCCCACTCCTCCCTCACCATCTCCACCATCCACCCCTCCAACAACTCGACCACCCCACCACCACCACCACCACTACATCTTTCACCGAGCCTAACAAACAATCTGGAGGGGCAGAGATACGATGGTGGTGATTATGACTGGAGGAGGAGAAGAGGAAGAGGAGAAGAAGAAGAGGAGAGGAAGAATGGGGAAGTGGAGTGTGAAGAAAGTAGAAATGTGAATAGAAATGTGGGGAAAGTAAGGATGAGAGAGAGAGAGAGAGAGAGAGAGAGAGAGAGAGAGAGAGAGAGAGAGAGAGAGAGAGAGAGAGAGAGAGAGACTTTTCAGCTGGAGTGAAAGTGTGTGTGTGTGTGATATTAATCAAGGCACGTGTACATCCACATATACAGGTACGTATAAGTATACCTGTAGGTTCTTGTAGCCGTTGTATACCCACACTACTGTATAACGTACGGGTTGGGAAGGGAGGGGGGGAGTCTTAATTAGCTGCCCAGGTAATGTTGACAGGTTAATGAGGTCCATCACACTCCTACGACTCACCTGTACCACACAAATACCTTCTCTCTGCCTTAATTACCGTGTACAGGTATAATATGGTCCCTCATGACTCAACACAGGTGTATACATATAAGGAAATACATATACATACATATACACATAGTACCTTATTATACAGGGTGTTCCAAAAGTCATTTCTCATGGTACTTACCTGGGCAATATTTTCAAGTAAAAGAATTAAAAGTCCTATGGCTAAGGATTTTAGGTCACCCGGTATGTTAAACACACACATACACACACACACACACACACACACACACACACACACACACACAATGCTCTCTTCACTCCATTCAACAGTCTCTCTCTCTCTCTCTTTGTTCCAGCACTATTCTCCCCTCCCCCCTCCCTTCCTCCCCATCAATATACTCCCCAGGCGGCATTTCAATCATTACTTGTCCAACTCTTGCAAATTGTCTCCCATCTATTTGGGTTATACGGAGAGGCAGAATGGCCAGGGTAGAGAGGAGAATGGGAGAGGAGGTAGAATGGGGGGGGAGAGGGGGAGGTAAGAGGTGAAACGGGAGATAAAATGGGGAGGAAGAGGAGGGAGAAGGGGGAAATGAAAGAGGAAGAACAGGAGAAGAAGGTGCAGCAGAAAAACGAGAGGGATATAAGGTAGAAAGTAAGAGGAACAGGAGAAGCAGGAAGGAAGGGAGGAAGGAAGGAAGGAAGGAAGGAAGGAAGGAGAGGAAGAGGATGAAGAGAATGAATGGAAGAAGAGAGGAAGAGAAGGAAAGAAAGGAAGGAGAAATGGAGATGAGAAGGAAGGAAAGGAAGAAGACGGAGAAAGGAGAAGGAAGGAAACGAAGGAGAGAGGAAGAGAAGGGAGGAAGAAGAAAGGAAAAGAACGAGACACACACACACACACACACACACACACACACACACACACACACACACATTGGCCAGCACTTTCTGTAAAAAATAAAAAATCTGGAGTAAGGAATACCGTCTAATTTCAACCTGGGAGGAGACGAAACGTGGGAGATTGACGAGATCTTGGGTGTGAGGGGGAGGAGGAGGTGGGGTGAGGGGGTGTTGAGGAGGTGGGATGGGAGGTTATAGCTAGCAAATAAAGATGAATCCCTGAGCAATAGGATCGTCTGAATCTTGCCGAATATACCCGGGTGATTCAAGACTCTGGCTGGCGGGAATCAAAGTAGGAGAGAGAGAGAGAGAGAGAGGAGAGAGAGAGAGAGAGAGAGAGAGAGAGAGAGAGAGAGAGAGAGAGAGAGAGAGAGAGAGAGAGGAGAACTACCATTATTATGAAAAGAGAAAGGAGTGAGAGGGGGCGAAGGAGGTAAACATTACAGGTGTGGCGGCCAGGTAAGTGAACTCTGACCCCGGGGGAGTAACACACATTACTGCACTAACCACACAGGGCACACCAAGAACTTTACACTCACACACACACACACACACACACACACACACACACACACACACACACACACACACACACACACACACACACACACACACACAGGTGAAAACTCTTGTTGTCAAACGTCACAAAAAGCATCAGTATTCAGAGGACGAAATTACACAGCCGGGGCACACGGAAATTCTCGACCCAAAGTTGGTGTTGTTTTCATGTTTCTTATGGCGACTGGAGGTAAGAGCCACCCCCAAGCCTGGGAGGGGTTAGTTTGCTGGCTGGGAAGGGTTAGGTTACATACGAGGGTTAGGTTAAGGCTGGGAGGGGTTAGGTTAAGGCTGGAGGGTTAGTTAAGGCTGGGAGGTTAGGTTAAGGTTGGAAAAGAAGGAGGCTGGGAGGGTTAGGGTTAAGGCTGGGGAGGGTTAGGTTGAAGCCTGGGAGGGGTTAGGTTAAGCCTGTTGGGAGGCAAGGCTGGGAGGCGGGTTAGGTTAAGGCTGGGAGGGGTTAGGTTAAGGCTGGGAGGGGTTAGGTTGACCTTGGCTGGGTTTTTTTTAGAGGTAAAGTTACGTACGATGAGGGGTTAGGTTAAGCCTGGGAGGGGTTAGGTTAAGGCTGGGAGGGGTTAGGTTAAGGCTGGGAGGGGTTAGGTTGACCTTGGCTGGGTTTTTTTTAGAGGTAAAGTTACGTACGATTAGGTTAGGTTTAAGGATGCTTAGGTTTGGGTTGGTCGGGTCGGGTAGGGTCGGGTCGGGTCGGGTCGGGTCGGGTCGGGTCGGGTCGGGTTAAATCAAGAGTACACTGGGTTTGGTTAGATTAAGTTAGGTTACTGGTAGAATGGACCGGATTTCGCTTACATTAATGAAGGTTTGATTAAATTAGGTTAAGTTAGGTTTAACATCCGGAAATCCAAGAATTCCTAACAAGAGCACAGGAAAGAAAGGAAGGAAGGAAGGAAGGAAGAAAGAAAGGGATATCTCAGCTTCTCAGGACTGTTGCCATTAAGTAAGGGCGGAGGAGAGGCCTGTAGACTATGTAAACAAACCACCTTCAGGAGCTCAGTGGGTGGAGTCTTGGCTTCTTAAGAGATCTTTGTATTCACCCAAGACACGCCCTCCTACTGCCTTTCTGTGTCTACCTGGGACAATGAGAATCAAACCTCACAATTACAGCATTCACTTCCTCACAGCTCACGCCTTCACAATACACTGCCTCCCTCACAATACACTGCCTCCCTCACAACACACTGCCTCCCTCACAATACACTGCCTCCCTCACAATACACTGCCTCCCTCACAACACACTGCAACCCTCACAACACACTGCAACCCTCACAACACACTGCAACCCTCACAACACACTGCCCTCCCTCGCTACACACTGCCCCTTCACAAAATACAGTCCCCCCCCTCACAACACAACTCATTCCTACACAACGCTTAAACTTTCACCATTTAAATTACCCCCACATTGTAACCCCTAACCCCTACCCCCCCCCACCCTTAACCCCACAACATAGTTAAAATCCCACATTATTATAACATGGCTTCAAAAATTCACATCCACTCAAATACGTTCATATTTTATTTATACTATTCTATGATACAAAGAAATCCTATTAACAAAAGCTTATTTATTTATATATATACATTCATACAAACACGTCATAGCTATCAAGAACTGCGGTAAAATCTG